CTATTAAATCTTAATTTATTATGTACAAAATTCTCAGGTAGCAATATATGATGCAACGATGTTTGTGGACAAAATAAACAAAATATAGCGTATCTTAAGACTAGGATCATTCGTTTTTAATTCGGGAATTCTTAAAATATGTACGTCGATATAATAATCGTTACAGTAGAGTTGGAACAAAATATTTATAATATTTGGAATGCGAATTAATCTGGAGAAGTAGGGTCGATATAAGAAGGTGGTTTTGAAATCGTTACTGGTTTTGAAAGCGTTACTGCGAAAAGTACTAAACGGTACTTAATTTGGTACAATTTGAATTTGGAACAAGTGAAAAAGCGTTAAGTTCTGCCGGGCCGAACTTTGCATACCCTCCACCATAGATATACTGACAGATACTTGAAATGAAAATATAGGGAACATACCAAATAATGGACATATACCGACATTTCTACAATCCGATTATGTAAACAATAATTTTTAATAGAAAATTATACCCTCAGCCTTATGGCTAATTAGTGTGTATACACTTTCACACGGTGAAAATGTGCCTCATCGAAATATTGGTTCTAGACCAGGGCTGTCCACACTAATACTTTCAAGTTTTGTGATTGTATATGTTTCAAATACAATATTTTCAAAAGTTCTGTTTCTATGTCATATACTGGGAGAAATTTTGTTAAAATATTATTTTCAAATTTTAAGGAAGAACAAATTTAATATTTAATGCAAATATGGATGTTGATGATACATTTTCTCATATAAAGATATATTTGTTTCTGTTTTGCCCTTCCGGCATAATATTGCTCACATATTTCGACCTGTTCCGAACTAATGTTTGCCAGAAATATCCCAATTTTTTCGGTTAGTGTATAAAAACGAAAAGGAATGAATGACAATTTTGAAAATAATTTTTATTTTCAAAATTTTCTCTTTTATAATTGTATGTGTGAGCAATTTGACACACACCGACAGCCCATGGGACCTATTTTGGGCACAGCTGTTCTAGACCCCATGTTTCTTGGGACCAAATCCGTTTCAGAAAAATTTGATTTCATCCCATCTTATTATGTCTTCCAAACTTAGTTCAAGAATTGGAGAATATCGGCCCATGCCTTCTGGTACCTCCCACACAGGGGCTACGGCTAAGCCTAAATGCGGGCTATAGTTCACATATAGTTCATAATCGAACCGTACGTTCTAGTTTTTAATCTCGATATCCTTCGCAGGCAAAATGATTACAACAGAGTGTTAGAACCCAAAACGCGAAAAAATCTGATAATTATATTAATATAAAAATGGGGTTATATGGGGACTACGCCTAAAAGGGGTTGACTATTAATAATTTTTGGTAGGGAGATTTGTTTCCATATACGGCTACAAAATACCAAATTTCAGTGATTTCGGTTGAAAAACGCGCTCAAGATCTTCCAAATGCCGAAATTTGTGGGTACCTTTATATGGGGGCTACCAGAAAAAAATGGACTCATATTTGGTACCCAATAAGAACCCAATATACCCAATATATAAATTCCAGCGAATTCGGTTGAAAAATGCGCTCAAGAACCCCAAAATACCGAAATTTGGGGGTACCCTTATATGGGAGCTATGCCTAAACGTGGACCGATATATCCCATCTTCGAACTTGACCTGCCTGCAGACAAAAGACAACCCTATGCAAAACTTCAGCACCCTATCTAAATTCCTTCGGAAGATAGCGTGATTACAACAGACAGACGGACGGACATGGCTAGATCGTCTTAGAATTTTACCCTGATCAAGAATATATATACTTTATAGGGCCGGAAATGAATATTTCGGTACTTTTGGATATGTGTACGATAAGTACTTAATGATACTATATTTGATACAATTTGAATTTTGGGTGAACCGATAGGTTGGAACACTGAAATTTTGAAATAAGCATTGTAGAATAGATGTATGTTGGTAGTTTGAGAATTTCGTACTTATATGTACCATATTGGGTAAATTTGAATTGTGTATGAACCAATAGAACTGGAATCCTGAAATTAGTAGTTAGGATCACTGCTGGGGTGTAGGAAGTTTTGGAAATTTCTACTAATGTGTACTGAATTTGGTACAATTTGGATATAGGTGAACCTGTAGAGCTGGAACACTGAAATTTGGAAATAAGATTATTGTTGGAGTGTAGGATTGGTGGTATGGATGTAGTTGTTGAAATGCTAACTATAAGAGGACATAGCTTGTAAATAGTACTCATTTGTCAATTATGGTCGGTATTGGTTTTTAAATTTCTGAAAAAGGTGATTGACGATTATTTTATGCAAATTTTGACAGCAAATGCGGCATCTCTCCAATGATGCCACCAGCCCATAATCCTCACAAAATTGGTAATCAGAGTTTTTTAATATTGAAAAACTTCTTCGGCGATAGTGTTGGGTATGGGCCGTTGTTTTCATTACTCCAGAATATTTAGAAGGTTTTTCCCATATTTCCCCCAATTTTTTTTTTGTTTTTTTTTTTTTTTTTTTGAAAATAATAAGTTTTAAGTTTTCATTCTTTTATAACTTGGGTCATGTTTAAAGTATTGGTCCTAGACCCACCACTTAGTATACCTGTCGCCATATCTCGACTTGCTGAGTCGATCTAGACATGTGTCCATCCGTCCATCTGCCCATTATAATTTGTAAACACGCTATGGTTATTTTACGAAATTGTTCATGTATGTTCGGTTTGGAGCAAAGAAGACCTCTGTTTTTTCTGCTATATTTAGGAGTGGTTGACCTTTAAATTGAATTAAATTGAATGTTTGTAACAGGCAAAATGAATCGAAATAGACCCATGGCTCCGTTTGAGAATATGTATAGAATCGCTTTCTGAGTCGAATTATGCATGTCCGTCTGTTGTTGTTAAATTGTAAACAAAGTACAGGTCGGTCGGATTTATAATCCGATTTGGATGAAATTTGGTTCAGCTCATTTGTTTGGCCCAGGACGAACCCAATTGTAATTGGAAAAATCGGATAAAATTTAGATATAGTTCCCATATAAAGTGTCCCAATTTTTTCATAGTGTACTTAATTGAGTCTTGAATGGCGTGTGTTAAATTTCGTGAAAATCGCTTCAGATTTAGATATAGATCCCATATATATATATATATATATTTTCGTCGTATTTTATCTAAATGGTGTACCAAAGTCCATATATATTAGGTTGGGGAAAAGAAATCCATTAGGCCAGTCGTCGAAAATGTCGATAAAATCGGAGAAATTATCGAAGTTGACCGGCCATAAAACCATTTACACAAAGCTGGATTCAAAAATAAGCTCGATGTTTTGGTTAACAGAAGAAAATAGGATGGATCGAATTTACGTCTGCGAAGCCTCGGCCAAACGGAATGAGATAGACCCATTTCGTAAACGGATGATGACTGGAGATGAGAAATTGATCACATACGATAACCTTGTGCGAAAACGATCAAACGGTGGCCAAACCAGGACTAACGGCCAGGAAGTTACTGCTATGCATTTGGTAGAACTGGAAGGGGATTATTTATTATGAGTTGCTTCCATCATAAAACAATTGACCAGAAACGGCCAATGGGAGAAGTGTCGTGTTCCACAAGGATAACGCTAGGCCACACACATATACAGTGACTCGCCAGAAACTTCGGGAAGTTTTAATGCATCCGCCATTGGCACCAAGCGATTATCATATTTTTCTTGCATTGAACATTTCTTTAATGATAAAAAATTGGTATCTAGGGAGGATTGTGAAAACGACTACTAGAGTTTTTCTTTTGGAAATAGAGAGCAGGACTTCTATGAGGCATTATAAAGTTTCCTTTAAAATGACAACAAAACGGTGCAAATCGGACTTTTCGAAGCATGCTAAATAAAGTCTCATAGTTCATATAAAATAAATTGATGTCCTTTTCCCCAACCTAATATATTACAATGTGCTCGAAATTTGGTATAGCGCACTGAATTAAGACTAGAATGATGTGTGCTAAGTTTTGTGAAAATCGGTTCCGATTGAGATATATATCCCATATATTTTATTTGTCGTATTTTATTTAATGGAGTACCAAAACCGCTATATCTCCTTCAATTAGCACGAAATTTTAAATAGCGTACTGAATAAGGTCCAGAATGACTTGTGTGTGCTAAGTTTCGTGAAAATCCGTTCCGATTTAGATATAGCTCTCATATAAATTTTCTTCCGATTTTATGTTAATGGAGCACCAACGCCCCTATACAACCAACGCCCCCTTTCAATTTGCACGAATTTCTGCATACCGTACTGAATTAACTCTTGAAGGATGTGTGCTAAGTGTCGTGAAAATCCGTTCAGATTTTGATATAGATCCCATATATATTTTCGTCCGAATGTTGTCAAAAGCAAATTTATGAAAACAATGAGACTACCTTGTATAGTTATGCCATGTACCCAATGTTTATCTTCCTTTTTTCTTTAGATTTAATTTTATTTGTAATTCAATTTATTCAAATGTTTCTTTCGGTTTAATTTTGGATACAAAAGCGGTTATGTGCTGGCTGAACTTCACATGTCGGCTAATTGTTGGAGATTATAATCTCGGTTATGTGCCGTACACATACAGGAATTCGATGTGGCTAGCGGGTGCCTCGAAATCACATTAAACCGACACTAAACTACTACAAAGTAGGAATCCCCCTGTAAACTTCGAGACTACATCTGACATCTCGACGGAGAGTAATAATGGGTTTACATCATATGGAATTAAAGCTCGATTTAACATCGTCATTTGATATTATATTTTTAATAAAAGTAATAGAAATTGAAAATTAACGAATACAACGCAACCAACTATAAATATTTTTTATGTCTGTCATTTTGATAAAATAAACAACAAGACAACATTTTGTAAATTTATTTTCTTCTTCTTTAAAATACAAGTCTTTAACCTAATATACTCTCATATTCCAACCGATTGAAAATCGTAAAAAATTAAATCGAGAATGGGTGGGGTTCCCTTTACACTTATTTGCCCATTTCTTTTTTGTCTGTTCTCCGATCGCATTTACCCAATAACCACTGACACTCAGTCGATGTAAAATTATATATAGCATTTGAATATGCTTTCACAACACGCCTCTCAGTGTCATACATCTCATCGTTTGAACACATTATATATTCACCTTGATAGAATACCACACGTTCATCATCTACAAACTCAATGATCCAGATATAGTTTAGTGGTTCCGCTTGCAATTCCCAACTGGCTACTAGTTTTGTATCCGTCATAATGTAATAGAGCTGTTTATATTTTACACTTCTCAGCTCAATCAAAAGTTTATTATTATTCGATTTCGATTCGGTTACTTTGGCATTTATCGGACCCATATAGTCAATGCTCCATTTGTCGTGCCACAGCCAAACATGACGACTTGATGGATCTATAGTGTGTGGCATTACCGTTGTATAAATATATTCGGAATATTTGTCGTTCATAAGGCAAAAATGGCTATGGAATAATAGATATTGTAAATTTGTGGGGAAATTCTGTTGTATGATATCGTTGATTTTTTGTTTTAGCTCGCCATTTAGAGATTTGTAGTTTTCTTCTTGCCGAATAGCGTACAGAGTCATGGCGAATTTTTGTTGAAAATAATTATCCTTTGTCATCATCCTCTGAAGGGAATATTGATAGCAGTTGAGTAAAAATTTCACAATTAAATCACAAATTTTTGGATCGTTTTCATTGTGATAAATTTCCTGAAGTAAATCCAATACCTTATTCCGACTTTTGCATGTAAAGATATTTACCATCCATTCGTAAAGAATATCATCAATCAAACGTTGTTCATAATCATTAAGGATTGTTTTCATTTCCTTATGAATTTCATTTTTAATTGTCGCCACATCGTTGCTACAAAAAATTCTGGCCAACAGCTGTGAATGCTCCTTTCCTAAATTAATTTCTAGGTTTCGTTTCAATTTCTCCAATTCCATCAATTCACGTAAAACATTTCGATATAATTGTTTGTCGATTTCAATACGATTTGCCGCTTCCATTTCCATTTTATTCGATTCTTTTAATAGCCTGTCTTTGTTGTAATGTGAACTGTTACAGCAGCCAATAATGGTGATTATGGAAAATAATAGAAATATTTCGTTTGCCATAATTTTGTAAAGTGTCGTTAACTTGTTTAACTGTATATGAGAAGTGAAGAATATTTTGCTTGTTTGATTTTTTTAAATTATAAAAATTATTAATATACATTATTGCATTTCTTTGATAAAGCTCTAATTGTATTCTTCCGAAACGGAACATTTATTCATCCGAAATGATAAGCAGTAATGACGACCCAATTGAACCATTTATGGAAGCTGCTGTGGATTTTCCAATAGGCGATAAACACTTCAACAATGCACAAAAATTACACTTTGAAATAAATATCAGCTTTCGGTTTTTGTATGCAGCTCAAATTCTGGAGCAACAGCTCTTTTCTATCGCATTTACACCAATGAAGAAACGAGAACCCATTGTACCAAATTCAACGAATTCGGTTTAAAAACGCGCTTAAATGCCCCAAAATACCATAAATTTGGGGGTACCGTTATACGGGGACTACCAGAAATAGTGGACCGATATATATATATATATATATATCTAATTCATAATGGAGACATTTGGTACCCAAAAAAGAACCAAATTTCCAAAATACAGAAAATTGGGGTTGCCCTTTTATAGGGGCTACCCGAAAAATGGACCTTTATTTATAATTTGTAGTGGAGAAATTTGGTACCCAATAAGAACCCATTGTACCAAATTGCAGCGTATTCGGTTTAAAAGCGCGCTTAAAACCCCACAAAATACCGGTACGGTTATAAGGGGGCTACCAGAAAAAGGGGACCGATATTTATAATTTTTAGGGGAGACATTTGGTACCCAAAAAAACCCAATGTAGCAAATTTCAGCGAATTCGATTGAAAAGCGCGCTCAAGAACAACAAAATATCGAAAATTGGGCGGTACCATTATATTGGGGCTATGCCTAAACGTGGACCGATATAGCCCACCTTGAACTTGCCTGCAGAAAAATGACTCTATGCAATGACTCTTGGCGATATATCTCAATTCCTTCTGACGATCGCGTGATTACAACAGACGGACGGACATGGTAGATCGTCTTAGAATTTTACCCTGATTAAGAATATATATATATATATATATATATATAAATTTCATATCAGTGGTCCTTCGAAATATACGAAATGTAGAATATCCCCAACGTTTATCTTCCTTTTTCTTTAGATTTAATTTTATTTGTATATGCCCGCAACTTCGTTAGCGAATGTAGGAAACACGTATTAACATATCATTTTATTTTCACAGCAAACTTCATATGTCAGAAAAACCAATTCACACAATAATATCGACCATAAATTAAATTTGGGTACCATTTAGTACCAAATTTCATGATTCGAGCTCTAAAGGTTCATCCAAATCCAAATTTTCCATTTAGAACACATTATTTCCATAGGTACCCTGTTCAACCATCCAACAAAACTACACCCCCACAATGATTCCAAATTCAAATTTTAGGATTCCAACTATATTGGTTCACCCACAATTTGAATTGTACCAAATTTAGCACACTGTAGTACGAATATCCAAAACTTCCTAAATACCCCAATCCTACACACCGACAGTGATTCTAAACCCAAAACATCCTATATACCCAATTATACACTTCCACAGTGATCCTAATCCAACAAAACTTCATGCTTATCCCGATTCTACATCCTGAATTTGGAATCATTGGGGCCCCCCCCAATGATTCCAAATTCAAATTTCAGGATTCCAACTATATTGGTTCACCCACAATTTAAATTGTACCAAATGTAGTACACAGTAGTACGAATATTCAAAACTTCCTAAATACCCCAATCTTACACCTCCACAGTGATTCTAAATCCAATTTTTAGGATTCTAAATCTTTCGGTTCGCCCACAATTCAAATTGTACCAAATTTAGTACACATTAGTACTTATTTCCAATACCTCCTTCCTACCCCAAACCTACACTCCCACAGTCATTCCAAATCCAAGTTTCAGGATTGCAACTCTATTAGTGCACCCACAATTCAAATTGTACCAAATTTAGTACATATTTGTACCAATTTCCAAAACTTCCTACATACACCAATCCTACACTTCCACAGAGGTCCTAAGTCAAAATTTCATGATTTCAACTCTATCGCTTCACTCGTAATTTAAATTGTACCAAATTTAGTACACATTAGTACCAATCTAAAACTACAATCTTACACCTTAACAGTGATCCTGACTCAAAATTTCATGATTTTAGCTCTATTGGTTCACCTAAAATTCAAAGTGTACCAAATTTAGTACCATGTAGTACCCATAAGTATTATTTTCGTAAACTGAATCCTGGTCCTAATCCTACATCCCTACAATGATCCTAACTCCAAACGTCATTTTTCCAGCTCTATAGGATCACCCAAATCCAAATTGTACCAATTATAGTACGATTTAGTACTTTTCGTACTCATAAGTAACAAATTTCCAAAACTACGTTAATATCCCAATCCCACACTCCGACGGTAATTTTAATTTCAAATTCCAGGATTCCAGCTCGATTTGTACCTCCAAATCAAATTTGTACCAAATATAGTACCATATAGTACTTTTCGTACACGTGAGTACAAGCTTTCCAAACTCTCCTCATATCGACTTCTCAACCTTAATTTACATTCCAAATATCAAGTTCTTAGCTCAATCCATTCACACGCTACGAAATTGTACAAAATTTAGTACTTTTCGGAAACTTATAGTTCGAGTTTCTAAAAAGCCCTTTGCTACATCTATTCTACACTCCATCAGTGACCCTCAATCCAAATTTCTAGCTCTACTGGTTCGCCAAATACAAATGATACTATATTTAGTACTTTTCGTACTGTTCTAGTACGAATTTCCACATTTGGACCAAAAGAGACACTCACCTAAAATTTCAAGATTCCAGTTTTAGCCGTTTCGTCTGGGCGTTGATGAATCGTTAAATCAGTCAGTCAGTCAATCACTTTACTCTTTTATTAGTATAGATTAAATTTGTACCAAATATAGTACCATATAGTACTTTTCGTACACATGAGTGCACGCTTTCAAAACCATCTTCTTAAATAGACTCTACATCTCAACCCTAATTCGCATTCCACATTTCAAGTTTTTAGCTCTATTCATTCACATGCTACGAATTTGTACCAAATTAAGTACATTTTAGTACCTTTCGGATAGTTATAGTTCGACTTTACAAAAACCCTTTGCTACACATATCCTACACTCCATCAGCGACCACCAATCCAAATTTCAGAGTTCTAGCTCTACCGGTTCGCCAAATACAAACGGTATCACATTTAGTACTTTTTAGTACTTTTCGTACCGTTGTAGTACGAATTTCCAAAAACCCAGCCTTATCTGTCACATTTGGACCAAGAGTGACCCTCACCCAAAATTTCAAGATTCTAGCTTCAGCCGTTTCGTCTGGGCGTTGACGAATCGTTAAATCAGTCAGTCAGTCAATCACTTTACTCTTTTGTTGGTATATATTAGTACTTTTTAGTACTTTTCGTACCGTTCTAGTACGAATTTCCGAAACCCCAGCCTTATCTGTCACATTTGGACTAAGAGAGACACTCACCTAAAATTTCAAGATTCTAGCTTTAGTCGTTTCGTCTGGGCGTTGATGAATCGTTAAATCAGTCAATCACTTTACTCTTTTGTTGGTATATATTAGTACTTTTTAGTACTTTTCGTACCGTTCTAGTACGAATTTCCGAAACCCCAGCCTTATCTGTCACATTTGGACCAAGAGAGACACTCACCCAAAATTTCAAGATTCTAGCTTCAGCCGTTTCGTCTGGGCGTTGATGAATCGTTAAATCAGTCAATCACTTTACTCTTTTGTTGGTATATATTAGTACTTTTTAGTACTTTTCGTACCGTTCTAGTACGAATTTCCAAAAACCCAGCCTTATCTGTCACCTTTGGACCAAGAGTGACTCTCACCCAAAATTTCAAGATTCTACCTTCTGCCGTTTCGTCTGAGCGTTGATGAATCGTTAAATCAGTAATCGTTACTCTTTTATTAGTATAGATTAGTACTTTTTATTACTTTTCGTACCGTTCTAGTACGAATTTCCAAAAACCCAGCCGTATCCGACACATTTGGACCTAGAGTGACCCTCACCCAAAATTGCAAGATTCTAGCTTCTGCCGTTTCGTCTGGGCGTTGATGAATCGTTAAATCAGTCAGTCAATCGCTTTACTATTTTATTAGTATAGATTGTTTAGTTTTAACATTACCACACTAGAGAACGGCTGGGAAATTTTGATTGTGGTTCCGATTATGGTCAAGGAGGATGATCAGATAAATTTTCGGGGATGAAATGTACCGAAAACTTTATTATTTTTTCTGGTTGTCAAGTTGCTCAAGATGCCACATCCAAATATTACAAATGACTGTTTCGATAATGATTGGCCAATATAGCGAGTGGCCAAGATTTTCGTGTGTGAAATAAAAAATTGTATTGTGTTGTTTTCTTTTATAATTATCAAATTTACTTTTATTTAATTTGTAACAAATATCTTTTTTTTTTTTTGTTTTTATAATTTCAAAACTAAAAGTCTTCTCTACGATCACAAGTACCCAATAACCACTGGCATTCGCTTGATTCAAAATTATAGCTGCCACGTTTTTGACCTCGGACCGTACGTCTCTCGCTATTATATTTCTCATCTGTTGAACACATAAAATAATCTCCTTGATAGAATACAACGCGATCATTATCGACAAATTTAATATTCCAAATGGAGTTAACAGGATCAGACAATTGTGTAGATTCCCAGCCGGCAATCATTTTATCATCGGGTCTCATGTAGTACGTTACATTATACGTAATACCCTTCAATTGAGCCAATAGCTGATTGTCCCCTGCCTGTTGTATTGTTGCTCTTATATGGCCCGAGTCATCGATAAACATCTGTTCATACCATACC